TTTAATCCTTCATATTCAACGCTAATATTATCTTCAAAATAACAAAGTCCGTGAATTGCACGGCCATAACTAGTAATGAGAAAATTGCACATATACCATCTTAGAAACTGGTTTCTGATTTTTATTTATTTTTTGTGGATTGTATTATGTGTATATAACTTAATTTATCGTAGTAGTCATTCGCCCGTCTTCTCATTAAGCGGCCTTTCGTTGTTCTTTTATCTTGAGTATTTATTTTGTCAAACGCTCTTTAAGTTGCATTAAAAGCTCGAAACATACTTTTTGTGTCACGCTAGCTTTCATTTTGGTGTATTTAATTACTTGAGATTTCAGAAGTTCTTTTAATACGAAAGAGATATTCACTATTTGCCATAATGATTAAAATTTCAAAAACTCTTATAATCCGATAGAGATTTACCATATCACATACGAAAGAGATATTCACTATCAGCTATAATGATTGAATCAATCATATACTTATTGCTTCTTCATTTTTTCCAAAGTAAGTTCATACGTAAGAACCTAGATATAGACGAATATGAATGGGAAGAGGTTTATTTTTCTACACGTGTTTGTCCATCCCAATTTGAATAGGATTTTCTACGCGTGATGTGATTATCATGAATCCAACATCAAATATAATTTGAAAGGCTCTCATTTTGTATTCCCATATGAATCATGCTATATGTACAATACTAGTTGACAACATCTTAATTGGCATCATCATATCCATCCATTTTAAAAAACTATTTCCTACATCACATACTAGAATTTTGACAATGCATGGTTGTCAACCGCTGTTGTCAAAGAATATTGTACACTTAGATTAATTCTTTATTATGTGCTTGGGGTTTGGGCGTGTGAGAGATTCTATATGATTTTACAAAATTTTCATATATTGAATATTTTTGTCTTTGACAGTCCGTGGCTTTTCTACTATTAGGAAGACTTTAAATCTTTGTGCTGTATTCTCCATCTATTTTGTGTTTTATGGCTTTGAATGAACTCTGTAAACAAGAATCTTGCAAACAAATTAAGAAATCGATCTCACCTTCTGGCAAATGGTATCCATCGTAAGGTTGTTGGGAGTGTTGGAGTAAAACAATATATGTTAGGTGACATGGGAAAGTTTGACACAGAATCACTTTTGGGTTTGTGGTGAGTTAAAATCAATGGTGTTTTGATTCCATCTGGATTGCACAAGATTTTGAAAAAAAATGACCAACCCCTATTTTTGGTTGATGTGGACAGTCTAGACATCTCAAGGAAAATTGTGCAAAAAGGTAGAGCAAGTTCAGCTAATTGCTCGAAGTCAGTATATGGAGATACTAATTGTGTAGCTGGTAGTGTGTCTCTTTTCTCAATGAGAGAATGATTTTCTTTGGGAAGAATATATTCATCCTTATGACAGTCTTTGGTAAAATGAGTTGTTATGATAGATGATGCTTCATTGTTAGTGGGTCCAAAATTTTTCATAGGGACAGTGTTTGACGTTAGTTGGCGAAATTTATAAATGGCTAATTTCCGAAAAAGTCAAATATGGGGGATTGCATCATATTTTAGCAAGGATGTTCAACATGGGTTGATTTGAAATTCTTAGAACTATTGATTCTAGGCATGTATTCTTTTTATGGTGGAGTATGATAATTCTCCATTTGGAGATTTGTGATTGTGTAAAGGAAAAGGTTCACCACAACTACCTAAATTGCGTGTTTAAGTGGGTGGAAGAGATGGGACTATGCTGGAGGCACATTACTCAGTTTGGAATAGATAGTGAAGAATTATTATTTGGAGACCTCAAATAATTCGAAGTCAAGGTGGAGATTGTTGAAGTGTGACCAAAATTTTATTGGGTATTGGTGTTTTGGTTGGACTTGAAGATGTCAAATTATGTATCGGGAAGAAAATTTCAGCGCATTCCCGCTCTCGAGTGCCCATCTCCCGCTAGAACGCGCAAAGCAAGGAAGCTGACGCTCTCTTGGTACCAGCTTGCCGCTTGAGCAGCGAAGTCACCACTCACTAGGCGCATACCGACGCTCGAGCAGCAATTCGTGCTGCTGTTTGTCTGGCTCAAGGCCCGTTTCGTGTTTTAAAGAGCTTGCAACACCTCAATCCTTCTATAACTCTATTTTTAAAGTTTATAAGTAGCATCTATGACTTGTAAACATACCACAACATTGATATAGTATTGAGAGAGTTTTAGATCTTCATTGAGAGTATTGAGATCTTATATTAACAACATTTATTATTGATTACATTGAAAAACTCCTCCTCTGCCCGTGGATTTTTTCGTCTTGGATTTCTACATGTTCTTGTGTTTGTTTGTTCTATTTTATCTTGTTGATTTCATAACAGAGAATGTTAGAATTTTGACTTAATATTATCTAATTAAAATAGGATTGCATTTGTCTATTCTAAAATAAAATATGATTTTCTACTTATCTCATTGTGAATCCAACATTGAATAAAATTTGAAAGGCTATCCTTGTGTATCCCCGTAAATAAAGTCTTCTCGTTTAGTATTCTATTGATTCAAGGTTTAAAATAGCCATTGACTATCTTGGGGTGAGATTTGAGAATTATTTGTATTCTCATATGTTACTAATATTTTGAAGTATGCTTGAGGGTTTTGGATGTGAGAGAGAGAAAGAGACTCTATATGTTTTCACAAATCCTTCATAAAGTTAATTAAATATCTCTATTTTTGACGAGAAGGAATTTTTCTTCAACTTGAGAATTTTTCACATAAATCTTTGTATTGTTATTTTAGAAAACTTCTAAATAGATTCTCTCTACAAAGATTTTGTGTGCAAATTGAGGAATTGGTCTGAGTTCTCAACTGTAGCTTCATATCTGTATATTATTTCCAANAGACAAGCATGAGATGATATTGTGCGCTTCATCATGTATAAAAGAAACAAAAATGCTACTTGTACATAATTTGTCTACATAATGGTACACATAATACTCACGTGGGATGGGACCCATTTTAAAAGCGGGCCCCACCCCAGGTGAGTATTATGTCAACCCCTATGTTATCTCCTATGTACCTCAAGCAAAACTCTATTTCCAATTCTTGCACTCCATATAGGTGAAGATGTTGTCATCCAAGTTGATTGTCCGTCACCATCCTGTTTATTTTGATGGATGGGTTAGTTTGGATAATTCTACTTGTACATTATGCCATCCATAATGGATGACATAATGTACAAGTGGAATTATCCTATTGGAGGGTGTGCCGATGGGCCAGCACACCCTCCAATAATGTACTGCTACTTGTACATTATGGCATCCATTATGGATGTCATAATGTACAAGTAGCATAACCCAATTTTTAAAGCCTCGCCAGGCATGAGGTGGCTCCACCCTTGATCTGTTCATGTGCGAGTGAGATTTAGTCCCTGAACTAAAAACTAAAATTTTAATATATTTTGATAGAAATTGATGAAATATGTAATTTTAAAGTTGACAAAATTTATAAATCCCAAGAAATACATAATTAAAATTAATTATTCGTTTTGACTTAAATTTTTATTAATTAATTATTCACAATTATTTTGAACATTCGCCTTGACTAAACTTATTGATGAGGCGACCTCTACAAAAAAATATTCAATATTATAGTCTATGCCCCTGTTTGGTTTGAATAAAAAATTGATAAAAATTTAAGATAAAATTATTATTTTATTTTATTTACACACTTTTTAATCAAATATTTTATCGAATTTTATTAAAATTTAGTAAAAAATTAATTATTATCAAAACGATGAAGGGCGAAATTTGGTATACGTAATATATTTTCAGTAATTTGACTCGGGAAAAAAGAAATAGGGGAAATGTTCTTGTACAGCCTTTTTGTACAATGAATTACACAGCCCACACACATGGGATGGGGCCCACAAAAATGTGGGCCCCCCCCATGTGTGTGGGCTATGTAATTTGTTGTACGAAAAGGCTGTACACATAGCAAAGTCCAAAGAAATAATGGTTGGTCCTTCCTGCAAAAATTGTACACTACAAAGACAACAGGGTGAATAGTCCCACAAGGCCTACAACTTTTAGGACCACACTATCTTAAACGTGAAAGTTTATCCTAGATATTTTGTATGTGCGTTTGATTGTAGCATGAAATTTGTATCGTGAAAAATAAATTCTAAACAATTTAATTATTTAAAAATTATTAATAAAATGTGTTTGATTAATTTAATTTTTAATTTAGAAAATATAATATTTGTCCACTTTTTATTAGTGGGTACACAAGAAAATGAAAGAAAAAGTGAATTACTCACATATTTCTAAAGACAATAATTTCTTTGTTTTAAAGAAAAATATGGTCACATGATCAAAAGTAGGAAAATATTTTTTTGTAGAAAAAATTATCAATCAAGCAACACAAATAGTAGGAAATTAAGTGAAAAAAATACGTTTTTCATGAAAAATATTTATAATCAAACGAATAGGAATATGATAAAATTACAAAATTTCATTTGAGCATATTTTGTATTATTCAGCCAATAATTTTCAGATATTATTGTACCTTATCCATACAATACACTTTTACACCGTTGGTGCAGAAAATTTTGGACATCCAATCATAATGATTTGTGACCTTTTAACAACGTGCTGATAGTATGGAGTCCATATTTGTTTGTTTTTTCCCATAAAAAATAGATATTTAATGGATTTTAATAAAGTTGATAAACTGTGTGCTTGAGAAGTTGATAAAAGTTATAAGTTCCATTAATAAATATGTGACTGAAAATAAAATTGAGAAGAAAAATGAACTTATTTTCGAAGGATGATCTTGTTAGGAAAGCACTATTCAGATTTGAAATTTTACCATTAACACGCAATTCATAAGATGGTGGCCAACGAGGGATTTTAATCTTAGAGTTTGACGTTTGACTGATCATCTGAGTATCACGTGAATCAAATTGCTTGTGAACATATTTGTCCAAAGCCTTCTCATTGTTCAAAAATCAGCTCGAACATTATCCACATAAGTTCAAGAGTCGAAGGTTAGAAATAAAATTTTGGCATGTAAAAACAGCATCTTATGTTATTTTTATGGTTTTTTAATTTTCGATTTGATATATAAATGGACACATTTTCTTACAGCTTTCCGATGATTTTTAGTTAAACCATAAATTTATTTGAACATTATTACAGATATTCAACCATATTTTTTTAACTAAAAGAAATACATGCATTTAAATTTGAAAAAAAAAATCTTAATAAAAAAAGGAAAAGGGAAACTATTATGTTTAAATTCATATATACTCATACAAATTAATCAACTTAATTGTTGATTTAATTGAGAGATTATAAGAAAAAAAAGTTTAAAGTCATATTCAAATTAGATTTTACAATTAAAATTGGTTCTCAGTTCTAACAATCGCAACCAATGAAATTATAAATATAATCAAATTGAACAGGCCAAATCAATATAAACACGTAACAACTTGAAATATGGAATTCGACAATTCAAACAAATTCTCCAATACTTAGCTTATACTAAAAAATATTTGTTTTATTATTTTTTGCTGTCATCTCTCGGTAAAACTGAGAATAGAATGTCAAAGAATATCAAATTAAACTACTTGTACACACAAAGTGTATACCTTGATTAATACCTTCCTATGTGTTAAAAATCTGACAGTTATTGGAAAAGATGTCATCAAAATCAATGTACCAAAATCTGTCAACTCACATAGGTATAAACCAATGTGTCTAACTTTATGTATATGTAGCATAGTTCAAGAATATTTAAATTATGAGTAATGCTACTTGCAGTCGCTCACTGCGGCAGTCGCCCTATGTGGCACACACATGACATGTGGTTATTTGATGCATTAATGTGATAGTTTTTTCCCACATTTAATGCATCAAATACACACTTGACATGTGTGCGTCACA